TGAGATACCTGAGCCCTGCTCCCCAGGTGGCCTCAGCTCTCGTGAGTGGTCTCACTGGTGTCCCCCTTGACATGGTTCTGGCTAGGCCACTCTTCCTGATTTATTTCTTTTTTTTGTGTGTGTGTGTGTATGTGTGTGTGTGTGAGGAATATCAGCCCTATGCTAACATCTGCCAATCCTCCTCTTTTTTTGCTGAGGAAGACTGGCCCTGGGCTAACATCCGTGCCCATCCTCCTGCACTTTATATGGGATGCCGCCACAGCATGGCTTAACAAGCAGTGCGACTGTGCGCGCTCGGGATTCGAACCGGCGAACCTCAGGCCGCCACAGCAGAGCGCGTGCACTTAACCACTTGCGCCACCAGGCTGGCCCCCAATGATTTATTTCTTTTGACGAACATGTGCTGAGCACCACCCACGCTCCAGGACAGTGCTAAGGTGCTCTGGACACCAAGATAATTATAACAAGTTCCAGGCTGAGGAAGCTCCGAGTCCCACGGGCACGGTGGAGAAGTGAACCCACAGTCACATACACACTGCAGACAGGGCTCTGCGAGGGTAGCTCTGCCTTTCCTCCCAGAGTGAGGCTCACTTTCTCTTGGCTCCGAGCCGGAGCCAGCACGCTCATCACAAGAGAGGCAACTGCGCAATCCGTCCACTGAAGAAGCTAAGGGACACCTTTGTTCCTTTCTTCCTCTCTCCTGCGCCATGTCTCCCTCGTCTCTCTGCGTTCTTTGGACTTCTTGTCCTCCTTCCCTTCTTTTTTCCTGTCCTTCTGCTGGTCTCTTAGTCCCCCGCAGACCCTCCCAAGCACTTATTCTCTGAGCCTGCGGGTCTCGCTAGTATATTTAGACATCTAAAGGTAAGTCCAAGAATGAAGAGGGTTGGGAACACTGACGTAGATCTTGCTGAGCGCATAACTCAGGTCATTTTACCTCATGATTTTACCTCGTGACCCTGGCATTTCCTGTCCCTTTGTGACCTCAATAGTGAACTGAACATCCCAAGATGTTCCCTTATTCAAATGCATTTTGGCTGGGGATGCTAAGATCAGGAACACTCAGGGAGAAAGAGATCAGAGTGGGTGCCAGAGGTGAGGAAGAGCCAAGTCTGAGGACAAAGGGGCACCTCTCTCCTGCTTTCAGCCCCATAAACACCAGCTCTGCGCTAGACCTCCCTTAACAAAGCCCAGACCGTATTCCTGGGAAAAGTACAGCAGCCCGAGGGAACAGAGACACTGCTTTGTTTGGGGATCCAAGAAAGGGGACTCAGAAAAGTGATGGTGAGAAAGATGAACAGACTGTCCTCCTGCTAATATTGCTGGCTACTCAGTTACAAGCCTGTGATGAAAGCATCTTTAAGAGAAGACCTTTATCACAGTAACTTTCCTGCTTCTCCTCCATTAACTCTGTCACTCTACCTCACCTCCCTCTCAGAGACTTACAGGACTGTCATTTTCAGAATCCAGTTGCTTCTGGGTCTTTTAGTGATGTTTCTTGCTCTTAACACACTGGAAGCCAGACCGCTCTGCCTGCCTTTCTGCTGCTTTGGTAGCCCCAGAACAGGTTCTTGGCCTTTCTTTGTTTCATCCACTTAACTGCCCAGAAATCCATCCATCAGACATTTATTGGGCTGATACTTTGTGCAAACTCTCTGATGGCTACTCTAGAGGATGCAAAGATGCAGAAGACACACTCCACGTCTTTCACGAACTTGCAATCTGTGGAGGAGACACATTTAAATATAATAAAATAAATACACACACAGAAGAGATTCTGTGGAACTTGCAGTGACTTTTCTCTTTACAATTTTAGAAGTGATATGGTTCATTTAAAATGTGCCTCTTGGGCCTGGCCCGGTGGCACAAGCGGTTAAGTGCGCACGCTCTGCTGTGGCGGCCCGGGTTTGCAGGTTCGGACCCTGGGTGCGCACCAACGCACTGCTTGGCAAGCCATGCTGTGGTGGCGTCCCATATAAAGTGGAGGAAGATGGGCACGGATGTTAGCCCAGGGCCAGTCTTCCTCAGCAAAAAGAGGAGGATTGGCAGATGTTAGCACAGGGCTGATCTCCTCACAAAAAACAAAACAAAGCAAAACAAAACAAAATGTGCCTCCTACCTCTGTTGCTTTTTTCTCCTCAAGCTCCAGGAAGGCCAAATCGATCCTGTAAGGAAACAGAGTTTGGCAAAGGCCAGGAGACAGGGACAGACTTTGGAATCAGGGTGGACCCCAATATTTCAATCAGCAGGGCAACATATGCTTGGGTCAGAATCAGGCCTGGCTCCATGCAGAGACATGTATAGCCCAGATGACAGCACAGAAGCAATGTTTACTTCTCCAGGATTCGTTTGCACAAGTCACTGCCCTTTCTTCAAGAGCATAACAATCAAGAGCATGCCAAAAGTCATGGCACGCTCATTCCTTTAAGAATTTCATCACTGGATAAGCTGGTCTTGCGAAAAGGTCTAGGGAAGGAGCTGGTGAGGAATGGGGGTGGGGCGGTGCAGAGTAAACTATAGAAGTGGAGACAGGATTTTGGGGCAGGCAGTCGTGGTGTTTGGCACATAGTTTTTGAACCAAATGACAAATAAGGAAAATTTGAGGTAGATTCTCCATCTTTTCAACCAAGTCTAGCAAGGGTTACAAAGTCATTCTAGGTAAAATGGATAATAGAAGCCTCTGTATAACTGAGTTTGAAACACAGATCCCAAGACATCCTTTTTTTAAACTAGGGGATCAGTCAATTTTATTGGGAGGTGTTCAGGAAAGGCTGAAGACAGAATGCATGCTCCACCTGAGTCTTGAAGGATGAGTAATTCACAAGGTGTACAAAGAGGGGAAAGAAATTCTAGATAGAAGAGGGGTGGAGATGTGGAAGGGCTGGAATGGTGGGACCGAGGGTACAGGAGCAGAGGAAGTGAGAAGGCTAGAAGAAATGCCAGGTTTAGAGCCTGCACAGTCCACATTAATGAATGGGAGGCTGCTAGTGGTGACACACTGGGAGGAAAGGAGCCCAACCACAGGATGCCCAATGAGTGGGGAGAATCAAGGGTCTCCAGAGTTTCCTCTATCCACGGGGGCAGGTGTTTCTGGGATAGGAAGCTGCGCAAGGAGACCACAGAAGAATCTGTTACAAATGGAAGTCTGGTAGAAGATACACTCGGAACCCAGGGTCAGCCAGTGGCAACTCTGCTGGCTGCTGCATGTCCACTCCTGTGGGTGGTTCAGTCTTCTCCATGCCCCTCCCCCACAGCACGAGACTACAATTGCTGAAGACACTTGCCTTGGGAGCCATTTCTCTTTTATTAAGGTATCGTTTGGACGGCACAAGCAGAAACTGCAAACCCACATGCAGAATAAATTATGACATTTGTATTTAAAATTAAACGACAGAAGAAGCTGTGCTACCAGGAGGGCCTCCCAGTCCAGTGTCTGGAAATTCACAAGGTGTCGGCAGACCCCGAGAGTCCATGATAAATCTTCTGTGAAATATCTGGGGCCAAATGCCCCCCTCCAAGCATATCTAATGAGGCCCAAACTCCTGCACACAAACGTGTACACACACAGACACACATGCGAGGGGTGGTAGGGGACAGCCTGTAAACAACAACCAGCTTAGCAACAAGTGAAGTGGACCCAGCTGGGCCGTCCCTGTGGGTCTGGCGGCAGATGAGGTCCTGTCACTCATCCTTCACCACCTCCCTGGCTCCCTTGGGAGGTGCTGGTGGGCCCTTGAGGCAGTGAGGCAGTGGAGGGCTGCTTCCCAGGCGAGGAACCCAGATTTGTTATCCTGGGCTGCAGAGTGAGCACAGCTCGGCTTTCCTACACTGCCCCGATCTACTGTCTGGCCTGCCAAGCCTGCCTACCCCTCCCAGAAGAAGGAGTGAAGAGATGTGTCCCAAGGGAAGTCTGCCAACTTGGGGTCCCACGAGCTGTGGGTGAGTCCTACATGAGCCACTCTCTAGCAGTGTGATGTTGGGGAAGTTACCTCAGTCCTCTAAGCCTCACATTCCCCATATTCCCCATCTGAAAAAGTGGGAACGAGAGTGTCTACTTCACAGGGTTATCATAAAGAATTACTGAAATTTAATATTGCCTGGCACCATGCCAGACTCAAGTAAATGTTCAAGAACATGTTTTCTTTCCTGCCTTCTTCTCTCACATTTCTTCCTTTCTATTCCCCCGTTTTCTATTTCCAGGTCTATGTAGCCATCGGTGGTCACATAACCCCAACGGCACCAAAAGCATCTCTTGACCAACGGGGCCTACCCCACCCCAACAGAGATGGCTTCCCCCCAGTACAAAATTGCACCGCTGGCAGAGTCAAAGGGTTGGGCCACAGGACCAGGAGACAGTCTGGGCCTCAGGTGTCATCCGAGCCCAGGAGAGAGATCTGGGTAGCCTGTGAGCACATGGTGACCTGAGAGTCTCAGGGATGATGGTAAGGTGCCACAATGGTGGAAAGACAGGAACACCAAATACTGGTGCAGAGGTGGCTCTGAGCTGAGTCTGGCCAGAAGCTGGAACCTAGGAGCGGTGCTGTTCACAACCTTCAGCAGAAACAAAACCACCCCCTGCCACGATGGGACAGCCAAGCCCGCAGGAGATTTATCATCCTAGCAGATCAGTCCACCAAAAGGCCAGTTCGATGGGTCACAGTCCACAACTCCAGTTCTGCAGAAATTTTCCTTCCATCTCTCCATCTGTCTGTCCACCTAGCCATCCCTCTGGTATATATTAAGAGTTTTGTAGCATACAGGCTGACGGGGACAGAAACCCCTCTGTGCTCATTCAGCACCTTTTATCCAAAGGGTATCTTTTATGGTCACTCAACTGGAGTCTTTTACAGGAATGCTGTGAGGTAGTGAGAGGACAGGCAATACCCCTCTTTTGATAGATCAAGAAGTGCTCAGGGCAGCACAGTGCTCAAGCAGGCACAGCTGAGACATGGTAAGGGCTGGTCAACCGCAAGGCACTGGTCTGTTTCCCGAAGGCCAGAACGGGCCTTCCTCCTGGAGGCCTTGGTACGGCCTGTCCTGGACTGACCTCTATATCCAGACCTGCTCTGCTGCTTCTCACACCAGTGTGGGTTTCAAGTCATCTTTGAAGTTTACAATAGGCTTCGAGCGGGCCCACAGCTTTTCCCAGGAAGCCAGCCCCCCAGCAGGCTCAAGGTCGGTGTCTGATGAGCCAGTGTCACTGGAGTCAGAGGAACTCTGGAAGCAGATTTCACAGTAGGGCCGGTGGCAGCGGCAAAAGAACTCGTCTGAGCTGCTGGACTCGGTGTCAAGGTAGTTGCATGGAGAAGACAGGGAGAGACAGCCTGGGGACCCCGGAGGCTGCACCTGCTGCTGTTCAGGCAGGTCTGGTAAGGCTCTGGATAGGTGTGGGGCAGCGGGACACTGTGCCCGGCCAGAACCAGAAGGCTGGTGTGGAAACGCTACAGGGCTCCCTCCGGCCCCCTGGGGCTCTGTGTGGCTTTGTTTGCTGCCCTCCAGGGTGCACAGCTTGCCTTGAGGATCTGGGAGGAGTAAAGGCTTCCCAGAAGAGGGTCTTGGTACCCTGGAATCAGCAGTTTGGGGGTCCAGACAGGGGCTGGACCCGTTCTGCTCCTTTAGCCCACTGTGTGCCCTGGAAACAGTCCTATTTGCCCGATGCCCCACATATGAGGGTGCAGAGCCCGGGAAGAGTGAGCGAGCCCGCTGCGCTGCTCGCCTTCTCCTCACCATGTATGGGCTGAAGCCCAGCTCCCTGGAGAGGGGCATCTTCCTGGGGCTGGGGGCAGCACTGCCCTTCCAGGCCTGCTGGGGGCAAGATGGGGAAGAGGGGAGGGGAGCCTCAGCGCCTAGGCCCAGATCTTGTAGGACTTCCTGAAGCTTCTCCCTGATCACTGAATTGACTCTTGACAGCCGCTCTTGGCGCTCCTCTGAGTTCTGAAGCTGCCCCTGCCTCTGGGGAACAGGGCCTTCTCCAGCCGGTGGAAGACTCCAGTGGGGGGCCGTGGGTACCTGGTCTCTTCTTTCTGCACCCCGGCTTTGCCCAGCCCGTGGCTTCTGGCTGCAGCCCGAATCTAAATGATCAGAAAAGTCTTTCAAGTAAGAAATGTTCTCCTCCTGCCCCGGGGAGGGGCTGGCCTCCTTCACATGCCTCTCCAGGCTCGGCACACTCGAGGAGGGCACTGAGGTGCTCTGGGAGTCCTGGGCGGCCGCGCTGGTATCATTCTGAGAGTCTGCGAGGCATTCCGAAGGCCCTTGAGCCGCCAGGCCGCGGGCAGAGGCTGCAGCCAGGACGTCCCTGCTGTGGGAAGGGGCAGGTGGGACGGCCCACCCGCGTGGCTCAGGGGCGCACTCCGCTGACACCAGCCTCACCAGCTTCTCTTTGGCGTTGTTGACTTGTTCCTGCAGGCTTTCAATCATAGCATTTTTCTGTAAAATAAAAGCAAAACCATCAACAAAAGATGCCACTGAGGGTTTTCACACTGTCTCCCCTGTGGAGAAAGCGCGGCCTCAGAAGACCTTGGTTTAACTCCCAGTTCCTCCGCGTATTACCGGTGATCTCAGGCTCCGAGGAGGCGCCTCCATGAGGTGCAATGAGTTCACGCGAGTCAAGTGCGTGGCACGGCGACTGACACGCGGTGCTCACTCAAGTTAACCATGAGTTACTGTGGGAGGATGTTAGCCCCCCTCTGTCCCCAGACTGTGTGGCATTGTCTGAGAAGCGAGGTCAGAGGAGGCTCGTATAGCTGCTGGCTGGCTGCTGCAGCCCCCCTCACCTTTTCTCAGAACTGAGAGGCCCAGGTCACCCCGCAGGACACCAGTCTGAATAACGTTTGGGACGGCCCAACTGTGCGTTTATTACACTTTTGCAAAATACAGACAAATTTGAGGCCCATCTCAAGGGGATGAATGAATGGGGAAACAAATATTTTGCTTCTTGCTAAACAAACTAGAAAATGAGAAAAACAGAGAGAAGGATGGAGATTCCTGGGCCAAAGGGACAAGCCTGGAGCCAGGGGGGCCAACGGGAGTCTCAGGTTGGTGTTATTACCTCCCTCAGCTGGACCTTGGGGGTGGGAGGCCAAACCCGCCATGTGGCACTATCAGCTGTTGATATCTCCTACAGAAGCACAGGCATCGGAATTACTGAGAAGGTTTTTTTTAAAAAAAAATAGGATTGTTGGCACTAAGTCCCTGATAGCTTGATTCAGATCTTGAATGGAGCCCTGAAGATGAATGAGGTGGGGCAGTTCTGCTACTGAGCTGCCTACCTGCAGCATGGCTGTTAGCTGATAAACAGGCTGTGCCCGGGAGAGCAGGGAGGTCGGAGCTGCAGAGGTGCTTCTGTTCTAATTGTGAGATCACAGGGCAGGAAGTAGGAGGAGGAGTATTGGCGGTGGGTGTGCCCTGAGCATCCTCTGGTGGTACAGCAGCTGATTCTCTAGCTCAGACCTTATGTCCACCTTCTGAAATTTCTGATGCTCAAAGGCAGAGGAGCAGGGAAGGGAACTGATGGTCTTGGGGCAGATGACATGGAGTTGAGGGTTTGGGGAAGGTAATAATACAGCATCATGCTCTCGGAAGTGCTTGTCTGAAGACCAAAATGGTGCGTCTGTGTTGCCATCCTCTGTACAAGCTGAGGATAAGCATGTGGAAGTCCATTTATTATGCCCTAGAAATAGAAGGATGTCTCCCATCGTTAGGATACCTGAGAAAAGTTGCCTATGGACTGAACCTGTGGTCTCTTCTCACATTGATATGGGAGAGTTGCCCAGAAGTGACCCTTTAAAGGAGCAGTAACTTGAGTAAACTAGTCCAGCAATAGTCTTCTGGAAGCAATTCCAAGGCAGATCCACTGCTTCCTATTTATAAGCAGGAAGGTGATTTTTCTGATTACTGGTACTCCCAGTTTCATCCTGGTTTAGTCTACCTCTCTTGTCATCAGGAGAGAGTCCAGGACCAGTGAGTAATTGGTGAATAAGCGGAAGGGACCTGCAGCTGAGCACTGGCCTGCCGTCCCCGCTCTGCCTCACCTGCAGACTGTAAGGTCTGGGCGTCACGGGGGAGCGTAGCTGACTCAAGGGCTCCCCAGGAGCAGAGTAGATGAATAACAGGCAGACATTCATCCAGGCTCCTCATGATACCTGGGTGGTGCCAGATATCTCTTTGGGGATCTCCTAGGGGTGACTGTGCTGGCTGCACAGGAGGGACCCCAACTCTCTTCCTCCTCACCTGTCCTCCTCCTGAAGCGCACCCTGCACATTCTCACGCTGGCTTCAGGAGGCCTCTGCTGCCTCACAGCGTTAGGAGGAAGCCACCAGAGGATGACAACTCCCCCAGCTAGTGAATGCTGAGTGCTGCCTTTTTGTGCCTTATCCACAAATTCCTTTGAGTGTAGGAAAAGAGGATAAACACTGAGTTGGGAAGAATACTCTTCTCCCAGCAAACCAAACATCTGAAGCTGACTGATGACAGATTTAGAAACGCCAGCCTAAACAGTAAATTTCCCTTTTTTCAGAAAAGGAAGTGAGACTCTGTTTTTGCATGGCTGCATACTAATGAGAGGTGTGGCTTGAGGCGCGGCCATTGTGAGACCAAAATCGGACCTACCAGGCACGGCAGCTGCATTTAAATGAGTTTATTAATCATTACTTTTGGCACATCTGGAGAAGCAAAATGTCCACAGGCGTGTTTCATAAGGTGCAGGCCATAAGGAGAAATGGAACCACCCTCTTGGTTCTATAGTTCAAGGAAGAAAAGTAATTAGTAGGTGAGTTTCCTCTGCTGCAGTGTGCAGAAGGGAGGCTCTTCAACCTCAGGGAAGGTTCTATCTGCTGGCCTTCACACAGCCTGGGAAGTCAGTGATGGATGCTGCCCCAAACAGCCTCTCAGGGACCCGCAGCCAGAGGGACAAGGGAGGCAAGAATAAGAAGATGGACTGCCCAGATCATGGGACAGTAAGAGGAGGACACCAGGGCGGCAGAGGGGGCTGCGTAGGAGGGAACTGCAACCGAGAAGCTGGAGTGTGGGTTTGTGCACATATGGAGGCAGGATAGATACTGATATTTATCTACCGGGCAGTGCTGGGGCTGGGATTCAGACACTGGAAGCTCCCAAGGCCTGCCACGGGGCCCTGGGACCGGCTGCTGGTTCTCAGGCCTGTTCTGGGAAAGATGTTCCAGGTGTCGGGTGCGGGAGGAGGCCAGCATTTTACTGCCTGTGCATCTGCTCCCTGTTAGGGCTCTTCCTCTGCAGACTCAAGGCCCCTTTCTGGGTAGAGCAGGTTCAGTCACCGCGTGGGAAGCAGGGTAGCATGGCAGGAGTACAAAAAGCACGTCACAAATTACCATAAGGCGAAAGAGTCAGGCCACTTGGCTGTTCCAGCATTAGCTAATCATGAATGAAAACCATCCTGGCTGTTTTTGCCAAGTTTCTGGCCTTCTGTTTAGCTGAAAAAATGCTTCTTTGAAGACTTCACAGCGTATCAAAGGCAATGCTACTCCCTTGCCAGGTGGGAAGGAATCTGGCTTTGGAAGAAGGTCCTGAATGCTTCATAAACAGTAAAGAAATGGAGAGGAAGTACTACTCTGATGGATTAAAAGGGTCCAGAACTGACGGTATGTGTGAGAGACTAGAGGGGCACAGACAGTGAGCGTCTGGGGGCGCTAATCCTTCATCGGTTGTGTTTCTTAGGTCCCCATCACACCACCCTCGCACACAGGGACTATTGCCACCCAGGTGTCAGTCCAATTACAAAAAAGCATAGTTTCCCAAATTGCATCTACTCGGGTATGTTCTGGGCTGAAAAAAATATGGAACAGAATTTAGTGTGAAAAAACTGACTAATTCCTCTGGGCCCTGTGCCTCCTTTCTGTGGCAGCGCAGCCTCGGCTTTTCCACGTGCTTTCTTCAAGCCCACACCACACTGCCCGATTCTGGGAGAGGTGCCAACTCTGGCTCAAGAACAGAAGAAAGAAGGGCTGGGGGCTGCCTGGTCCCTGCTTGGTGCTACTATGATATTCAGAGGCCCTATTCAGTCCTCCTCCCCATGTTTAGACACTTCTTGACTTTCTGGATTGGTAGGATGATTGAGATTTCTTGTATCTCAAGTAAAGACAGTAAGGGGCCCTGTAAGAGCTTGGAAATGAGGGGACTACTCTATGTAAAGAAAGAATGTATCATACAGAAGCAGCTAGCATCCACTACTACTCAAGGCCTTTACAATGCTGTTCCCCCTGCTTGGAATGCTTTTCGCTGTACTCTTTGGCTGGTCAACTTGTACTTAACTTTCAGCTCTCAGCTGGGAGAGTCTTTTCTGACCACTCTAAATTAGGTTCCCTTGCCCTCACCACCCATTATTCTGTCTTACCACTCTGATTTTTCCCTTCATAATTCCTATCACAATCTACAGTTATATGTGTATTTGATCATATCTATTTCCTCCACTCGTCTGTGAGCTCCACGAGGGCAGGGACTGTATTTGTTTTGTTCATCAGCACTGAGCACAATGCCTGGCACACACCTGTCCAATGAATGGACGAAGTGGGTGAGGGTCAGCAGTGGAGGGTCACTGGGGAGATGCGGAGGGTTTGCCTGCTGCTAAGGGAGTGGCTGGGACGGGAGGAATGGGTGGAGAAGAAAGAATGTCAGCAATGAGACATCTGGGGCCCACCATGCGTGACTGGAGTTCTCTACAGAGAATCTGCCCGGCAGGGGTCTTGCTTACTTCTGTGAGGAGTCTTTCCATGGAGCTTTTCTCTCCCCTCGCATGGCAATTCTGTTCCACACTATACTGGGTATGGAAGCTTCTGCTGGGAGTGCTGAAGTATTTGGCCATGCGTCTGATTGTTTGGTTTTCCTCTTCAAATGCCTTCCATTGCTTCAGCTGTTAGATAAAAGAACACATGTTATTTATTTAATTACACACCCAGAAACACATTCTATCACTCTTTCTCAAAAACATCAAGGAACGACAGTGTCCCAGATACACCTATGTACAAGCCATTCTCTCCTTAAAATGTACTTTACTCTGGAATGTTCCATAGAAAGTAATGACAGAAGGTAAAGAGAATGTTAAGCACATATAGTTGAAAAAAACACCCAAAGAAGAAGATGACAGGTAGATGAAATAGCACATCCACCCACCCATTGCTGCACTGGTCAAAGAAAACCAGAGATGACGTATACTTCTAGAGCCATGTTCTCAAGCCAGAGTTTAGAAGTTATCACAGGGTTAAGTCATGTAAACACTGTACAGTATGTTTCAAACGAAACTGTTTTTAGTTGTATGTAGCTGTTCTTAATTATTTTCATTTGTTGAGTAATGGTGTGCTTACTGCTATTGAAAAACCAGTTCCTAGCTGAAGGATTTCTAACCCAAATCAATAATCAAGACTCAGACAGACAGAAAACCACAAATGTCAATAAAAATCAATAAAAATGATAGAACATAAAGCCTGAGATCTGACCGCTTTTTTTTCTTGACAAATGAGGGAAGACTCAGAAGGAGGATGACCTGTCTAGGCCCACACAGCAGTCAGCAGCAGAGCTGCAGCTGTAATGGGCGCTGTGCCACACCGCATGCCCTCAGCACGGCTGATGAAGAGAGAGACTGTTAACTGTGGGGGTCCTCGGGAAAGCTTTTCAGGAGAACCTGGTTTTGAGAAACAATCTGTGGGAGCATGGGCTGGTTTAGGTGAACAGGGATGGAACTGAACACAGGACATTCACAAAGAGAGGCATGCTCCTGAGCCTTTGGGACACTGTCTCTACGTAGTGAACGCCAGTCACGTGAATGCCAGGGAGGCCGCAGTGCTGGAAGCTTCTCTTTTCCCCTAGCAATACTCATAATTAAGAATCCCAGCGATGTGCGCTGGCCCTCTGGCACCTTAGCTCTAGAAATGCTGCTGAGGCGTCTGGAGAGAGCCTCACAGGGATCCTGGGATTTCTTTGCTCATTCGTCATTTATTTATCAAGCTGACTATAGAGTGTAACCCAAATTTGGTGAATCTCATAGGATTCTAAATCTCCCCACCAATTTCAATACCACATCCTCACCCAAGTCCTCTTGGGTCCTCTGTTGACTCAGCATGAGGCCTTCATGGTATCAGGAGTCTGTGTGACCTGTGCTGGGTCAGGCCAAGAACCTCCCCGCTCAGACGCCCTTTTCGAAGGCCCCCTCCCTAGGGTGCCCGCAGCTTACCACCCTACTCAGGAGTTATTGGAGCCCAGCACCACAGGGTCACTCTATGGCCTTGGGTGGATGGAGCAGACCTCCTGCTGTTATTTCCTACCACTGACCCTAGCAGTGTCACGGATCTCTGCTCCCTTCAGAGTCCCCTCATTTCCTTAGCAGGAGAGCTTTTCCTTTCTCTCCCGCAGCCCCTAGTCCGAGCTGTCTCTGCAGGGCTGCTGGAGGAACTGCTCAACACTGGTGGAAGCGTGCCGCCCGGGCTTTTGGTCTGTCTCCCCCTCAGATGGCAGGGTGGAGCCAGGGTGGTGCCCTGTGACTAAATCCCATGCCCCGCATAACTCCCCATTTGTGAAGATCCTGGTCCTTAAGACTTGACCCTTCAGGCTTTCTGGAATATAGCTATAAATGACCCTCAGGTCACAAAGTCAGGACCTCTCCATGGTCCTTCCTCCAGAAGGACGGGCATATTCTTGTTTTCTCAGCCTCTGGGCTATGTGGCTGTGGTGGGCTAAATAATGGCTCCCCAAAGATGTTCCCCTGCTAGCCCCTGGAACTTGTGAATATGTTACCTTACGTGGCAAAAGAGATTTTGTAAATGTGATTGAGTTAAGGATTTTGAAGCAGGGAGAGTATGCTGGATTCTCCAGGTGGGCCCAGTGTCATCGCAAGAGTCTTTATAAGAGGGAGGCACAAGGGTCAGAGTCAGAAAAGGAGATGTGACAATGGAAATAGAGGTCAGAAAGAGAGAAATCTGGAGATGCCACACTGCTGGCTCTGAAGATGGAGGAAGGAGCCATCAGTCAAAGAATGCAGGTGGCCTTTAGAAGATGGAAAAAAGCATGGAAACAAATTCTCCCCTCAAGCTTCCAGAAGGAACGCAGACCTACTGACACCTTGATTTTAGACAAATAAGACCCATTTCATATTTCTGACCTCCAGAACTGTGAGATAATACATTTGTATTGTTTTAAGCCACTAATTTTGTGGTGATTTGTTACAGTAGCAATAGGAAATGATACAGGGGCATTAAATCTCAAGTCTTTCACAGGATACAGCAGGGCCTTCAGCAGTTCACCCCATGGGCCTCTTTCACCTCCTGCCACGCTCCCCTTGTTTCAATTTGTGCTTTAAAAGGAGCACAGACTTGTGGTGCTCCAAATATACCCCATTCTCTCTCACAGTTCTCTGCCTCTGGTCACGGTGCTCCCACAAATGCCACCCACCACCCTTCCCCAATCTGCTCAATGAACTCTCACTCCTCCTTCATGACTGGGCCCAAATACCCCATTTTCTGACAAGGTGTCACCAAGTTCCCTGACAGGCCGGGGCACCCCTTCCTCCATGTCGTGTAACACGCCTTCCTCAAACACTTAACACCAGTTTATAATTCCTTTCATGTCAGCTCCCAACTGAGCCTAGAGGTGGGGCCATGTGTGTAACTGCACGTTCCCAGCAGTTCGTACGTGGATGGATGGACACATGAACGAATGAAGGAAGCTCTCTTTTAAGAAGCTCACCTGTCCAGGAGGGACACTGGGACATATACAGATAACTGTAAGGCAGAGTAGAACGTCGTAAGGACCCTCAGGGAGGAGCAGATGAAACGCTTTGGGGGTTTAGAGGAGAAAACAGTGTTCTCCTCACGACCCACCTGCCTCTCAGAGGTGGAGGGAGGGAAGGGGGAGTGCGGTGTCGGGATGGGTCACATCAGGTCACAAAAGCCGAGGCTGGCTCAATGCTGGTGATGACCTCAGTGTTTGACAGAAACACTTAGGCATCTGCTGAGGGCCTGTGTAGAACGCTACTCGGTTCGCTTGCCTCTTGAGTAACGTCACCCATTCCACCCAGCTCTCTAGCGCTGCCTACCTGCCCTTGAGGTATCTGTGCCTTTGCTTTCTTAACCCCTCCCACCACAGTCCTGTCAGAAGGCTCCGTGGGAAGAAGGAAGCCCCCCTCCCTGGTCTCTCCCCTCCCCACGTAACTCTCCCCACACGCTTGTCCAAATTTGCTCAGCTGTCCTTTTCTCCTGGGACTATCCAGCGCAGGTCTCACAGGGAGAGTCTTTCTTCTACCAAAGGCCACTGAGCTGGAGGGAAAATCAATTCAGAGGCACACAAAAAACTGACAGACCTCAGTTACTTTTATATTTTGAAAAAGAATTTACCTCCTAAACCTAAAACACAATAGACTATAAAACATATTTTTAGTTTCAGATCATGGTCAGTTCAAGAGGACAAAGAGCATGAGAGAGAAAATAGAAAAGACACAGTAAGAAGCTCAAGACAGGTAGGAGGAAAAGGGGAGTGAGACAGAGGAGGACAGAGAAAGGCCAACGCTGTCCATCCACCCAGATCCTGTACCCCATAAAATTTCCATTTCTACTCCCACCTCAACAAATCGAGTGCTTGTTGCTCAGTTCAAACCTGGAAGTCAGATTCCAAGGTGAACTTCACCCTGCATTTTTGTGTCTGTGTATAGATGGGAGTGCACCTAGATATCTCTACTTTCTCAGGTGCTGAGGATTCAAACACCAAGGAGAGCGGAAGCCTTGTGTCCGAGGCTTAGGAGGCAAGAGGCACAGAGGTGAGTGTGGAGAGAGGAGATATAAGCAGGGCCACATCATGGAGGTTGCTGATCCACTTGTTTAAGATCAGGAAGGATTTCCTCTAATTGTTCCTTGGTGATTACTTCGGCTCCAAATTATTGTGTTCTCTTTCAGCTCTAAACTGTATCCCTAGATGTGCTCTCCATGTTTTCTTACCTAGTCTCTCATTTTTCCTCTGTCTCCTTGTTTTCTGTTTCCTTAAATTAATTCAGTAATACAGTCTTTTGCCATGTCCAAATGTCTATTCAACGCTTCTACTGGGGTTTTAAATTCTACACAATATTTTTCATCCTTATTCAATATTTCGTGATCCAAGATTATGTCCTTTTTATGATGGTTTGCTTTAGCTGAAGAGAGGCAATATCCTTTAAATCACTGACAAGACAAATTAGATGTGTTCTAAAACCCTCTATTTTACTTCAGAGGAAGGTAGCTTCTCCAGATCTTCAGAAACTTGTGGTCCTCTTCTTGTGAACTGCAGAATCTCTTCATAGGTCCTTTACCCCTGAATTGTTAGTGTTACATGAGAAGAGCTATAGTTTCCTATCATAGTAAATACATTCTCTTGGCTTTTCCCTCATGGTCACAAGATGGCTGCTATAGCTCCAGGCATCACAAACATTCAAGGTAGGAAGAAGGTAAAGAGGTGATGCCAGCCACACCTATAGCTTTTTCAGGAAAGCAAAAGCCTTCTCGGAAGCCTCCCAGAAAACCTTTGGTGTCCAGAACTGTGTTACATGGGCACCTCTAGCTATAAGGGAGGCTGGCAAAGCAAGTGTTTAGCTCCTTCAGCCTATATAGAGGAGGTGAGCAAGGAAGAAAGGGGTTGGCAATGGGTGGATGGGTTACCAACCAACAACGTTGGCCATAAGCCTAGGGGGTGGGCTTCCCTCCCCACACCCTTTTCCCCATCTCCCAGGAGGAATAGCCCTTGCTTTTGATAGCCCTTTTCTGCTACATCCCAGACAAATAAGCCTCAGCTCTCAATGGCCTCCTTCAATCCAGTTCTTATAACATTAAGATTCAGCAAAAATTCCTCTACTTTCTGGCACAAAGGCAAAACCCATCCTTGGTTTTTAGTGCTGCTGCTACAGATTTCCCATATTTGTTTATTCTATTGAGTATACTAATGAGAATTTATGAAAGGGAAGAAGAGTAAAGGGCCTATGACCGTCACACCATCACGCCCCAAAGGGTACTCTTCCCTTTTATAAATACACCGTAACCTTCCATCTGCCAACACTTCAATTATCGGTTAGCGCCCTCCTGGAGAAGTCCTTCATAGTCAACTGGAAGCTGCAATGGGAATCAGGATGGGGTCTTGAGGGAGTAATGGGATGAGGGAGGTGTCAGGGGGAGGAAAAAGAGAACTAGAAGGGAAACAGGAAAAGTGTCTAACGCCAAGTTCATTAACTCGGATCCATGTGGCTCAGTGGTACCCTCGGGCATAAGAGGAATAATTTAACATCACACTCCGTTCAGAGTCTGTGGATTCCTTTCCCTTTCCCTCTGACTCCCTTTATTCCTCTCCGCTGTCTGGATATTTCTGCTTCTATCTTCCTCGCTCGTTTGATTTTTTTTTAATCCCCATAATATGAAACACATTTTTATTTAGTTTTTATTTCCCCTTGTTGTAAAAAGAAAAAGAATGTTCTACATTTTTCTCTAATAAAAAGAAAGGAAAAGCATTTTAAATTGCATAAAATTCCAAATGAGTTTTTCCTTGTATATCTGCCATCCCAAAAAGGAAAGAAAGCAAGCTTCCTCACTCCCAGGCGAGTGAAAGAAATGACATTATCAGGATGAAGGGGGCACAGGGGATGAGAGAAGCAGACTGGGGCGGGGGGTGGAAAAGTCGGTCTTGTGAGGCAGCCTCTCAGGGGTGGAAACAGGCTGCCACCACTGCTCGGCCACGCTGGACTTCCCTCCTTCAGGACAGTGAGTCGGGGAGAAGAGAGGGAGCCAGCTCACCAGGAACTCCGCCTTTCTTCTGACTCTCCAATAACATGTACCCAAAAGTCTCTGGAGGAAACAAAGCGAGCAATTTATCAAGCCCAGCGAAGCCTCTGGAGTGACCAGCAGGACTGGCCCTGTCCCATCGTCGCCAGAGCATACCTGGGGAACGAAGATGAAGCAGTTGATGGTGGTTGTGCAAACAAAGATGCCTCCAGACGTGAGTCCAAAGACCAGGTTGGGCCAGGAGTGCAAGTATCTGGTGACCACAAAAAGAAGCCCAGCAGGCAGCACCACGAGGTTGACCCCAACCATGATGGTTAAAGACTGATTCACTGGAGGAGAGCTGACGTGGTCCGTCAGGCCAGCCAGGTAGGCACCATACAGCAGCAGCAGGCCCTGGAGGCGGAGGGGAGACCCAGAGGCTCAGAGAAGTGGAATAACAGGCTCAGAGTCACAGAGCAGTAGGCTGGGACCAATTTCCTCATCCGTAAAATAGGGATAATAATACGGACTTTACAGGGTTACCAGGAGGATTTACTAAGATAGCACATGGGAAGACCCTTAGAGTGGCCCCTTAACCTAGTAGGCGCTTAATAAACTTTATTTTCCTTTCCTTCACTGATAATTGGTTGATCAGAGGTCAGCAAGTCAGCAGCCATCAGACAGGACTCTGCCAGGAGGAAGCACAGAACAGGATGGTGTAGCTGGGCTACCGGGCACTAGGAGGGCAGTGGGTGCATTGTGCAGCTGGTGGTGAAGGCTACTGCACCCATGTGGGGTTTCACAGTACACAAAGCTGAAGGGCATGTGGAAGCTGAAATAGCCCTGTGGTCTGCTTGTCACGCCATGTGCCACGCAGGGGCAGTGCCCCGAGAAAGGGGCTCTTTTTTCTAATTTTCCCAAAGGCACCATCTGCTTGCCAAGCCCTGCACCTGCAAGACTGCATCTGCCTAGAAGGGATGCCTTTTCTAATTTACACAAAGGAGCTCCATAGGCTAGCAGTGGCTCTGTGCCAGTGGGTGTTTATGGAAGATGCAGAGTGGAAACAGGAGAACAAAGGCAGGCTGGGACCTAGACCAGACTCTGGGGCAGGCCCAGACAGCAGAGGCTCCATCTCTACCCTTCACCCGCTTGGTGACATTCTCAGCCCCCACCACCAGGAACCCAGGGGCCTATTCTTTCCTCTTTCCCGTGAATATAAACCTGCTCTCAGATTTCTCATTTGTACTAAGGAGAAAATGACTCACAGCACCTTAAAGCCCTACCTCTCCTAGAAGGAGCTGCATTTAAAGAGAAATCAAAGCTTTAATCAATATCACATAATACTATGTAGATTCAACACATGTTCACCTGACTATATGCAAAGTATCCTACTCAGTGTAGGGCAGGAACCAGTGCTACAAAGAGGAATAAGTCATGGTCCTGCCTGTCAAGGAGCTCAGTCTGGTAGGGAGATTTAATAAGGCACGCACACAAATGTACATGTTCAATAACACAGAATGTGAAGATGCCATGGGGATGAGGTGGGGGTGGGAACTATGGGGATTCAGAGGGAGAAATAACAGTAACTAACAATAACCTGCCAGTGACCCTGAAATCACACGGCCTGACCAACTCCACCTGCAGAGACGGCCCTGAGGATAATTTTTTGGCGGCCTGGCTGTACCGACAGCGAAGGAGTCAGCGTGGCAGAGATGCCTTCTGGGTGCCCCTAATGCCTACTGCCCCAAAACAGGCCTGAGGGCGAAACGAGGCCACTCTGAGATCTCCAACGACCAGAAGACACACGAGTCAGGAGACCAGTGGGGTCTGACTTTTGGGGAGCTGACGCCATCAGGTGGCATTTGGCAGAGTTGGATCATTAGTAATTTCATCAGAGGTGAATGAAATTAATTCTATGGTTTTGAAATGTTCAAATCTGATTCTATTGAAATGTTTTAATTCTATTAAAATTCCTGCCAAGAGGGAACTAGGTTTGAATAAAGCCTCTATATATCCTTGACTCGTGTTTGAGGGAATCACATCCAAGACTCTAAGTCATTCGCCTCCACTGCTGAGAAGTGTGTGTGTGTGTGTGTGTGGGGCAGCTGACAGGCTCAGGTGGGGGGTCTGGAACTTAATGTGGAGATCTGGTCCTCCCAGGAACTGCTCCTTGACCAGGGAGCCCATGGCGTCCGGCTCAGTCAGTTTCCTGATGCTCAGCATTCTTTTCCCCTTTTATTTTCTTTGTCCTATGGAAAGATATTACAGTGAAATAAAACGGAAATGGGAGTATATAAAAGGCAATGGAGAAAATAAATCAAGTTGAGTCGCAAAGTGAGTTGCTATGGGGGAAGTGCTGAGTCTCTGTGCTGGGGAGGACATGCTCTTTACAGGGACTAGAGGAACCGGGAGAGGCACTGTGTTTTCCAGGACTGTCCAGGGGGCAGCAGAAGATTAATAATAATATCTAAATTTATTGAGCTCTGACTATGGGCCAGGAGTGGTTGAAAACTCTGAACATTCACTAACTTTTGAAACTCTGACCAGCTCTGAGAGGATATTATCGTCATCTCCATTTTACGTACGAGGGAACTGAGGCTCAGAGACGTTAAATGAGGTTCTGGGTCAGCCAGGAAGGGGCTGAGTTAGAATTCAAACTCTGTTCTGTCATGTGATGAAGCTCATTTTCTTAACCATTAGCAAGAAACTGGAGATAAGAGCTGTTCACGTCCTAGTGTTTTCTTGTAAAAATATTTCTGTCAAACTAATAGATGTACATAGTTAAAAAGCAACATTTCCCTGTCCCAGCCCTGCCCATCCCTGGGCCTATTTCTCAGAAGCAACCAGTTGAACATTTTCCTAGTGGTGAAATGAGTAAAGCTTACCTTTAAAGACCACGTATTTCTACGAAAACTCCTCCTCTGCCAGCAGTCAACCAGGCCTCTCTATCCTGAGAGTCAACAGGGGGCCTCCTGCCATGCAGGGCTTGCCCTGTTCATTGAAACAGGCCTGCCCTATGCACCCCCAAGCCAGAGTCTCTGTCCCTCCAAGCTGAAAACCAGCTGACAGGTATCTAAAGACCTCCCTTAGTGCCCTGTATAGGTATCCTATAACCTCTGGAAATAACATCCTACTTTTGCCATCCAACAGAGACAAATGAGTCTAATGATGGGAGATTCAGGGCAGTATGGGAGACACTCTGAGGCAGCTGGAATCACTCCAAGGATTCATGGCTGTTGTCATCTGTCTTAGGGCCAGCTCACCTCAAACCACAGTGAGAAAGTTAGGGGGTGAAAGGCAGCAGGATTCTGGACCCGAACCTTGAAGGAAGACACAGAGGGTTTTAGGGCACTTAAGAGAACAGATTAAGCTGGAGAGAATATCTCCTCATAATTCTCCTTGCAGGGAGTTGGGGAGAAAACTGGTATGGTCAAATTGATTAAAAAACCAGACCAAAAAATGGGAGAAACAGTGGATGAATTCCACTTGATTTGGGGGAAGAATGAAGGAGTCCAAAGAGTTGGAAAAGTGACCCCCAAAACAAATTAAAAGTAGAGAAATAATAAGGGTCATGGCTCTGAGATTATGCATCAACAGGACTCCTCTGGTTTCAAGATTCTTTGCAGAAATTATCTCGCTGATTCCTGTAATTCCCACTTCATATCCATTTTGTTGGTGAGAGAGAGACTGTACCCCAAGGAGATGTGGTTACCAACCTTGCATCCCAAAATGAGAGTAATCCAGACATCTGAGTACCGGGAAGCACAGAAGTGTGTGCTGGTCAGAGAGCAGGACACATCTCTCCCTGTCACCTAGGAGGGACACAGAGTCAGGGTTGAAGACACCCGCAATTGCCAGGAACACACAGTGGATCTTTGTGAACATCCTGGAATGTGAACTCCTCTACAGCGTATAAATTTCCCCTTAAGGGGAAATTTATGTGACTCCATTACAATCTAAATGAGAGTGACTATGAGTTGGAGGAAAAGACGATGAGGTTGGGCTGACATGTGCACCTTTGGTGGCCGCAGGGCTTACCCCTCTGTCATGTGCTTTGCTACCTCAACGATTCCAGTTGGTCCATCAGCAAAATTACAAATTATTTCACATCATGTTCCTGCTATTTGTTAATAGTTGAAACCTTAAATTTTAAATCTGCAACGTCAAGATTCCACTGTATTCCTCAGCCCCTCGTGAGGCTGGAGAAATATAATACTTCCTATTAACTGAGCACCACGTACTGGGCACAACTGAATACTTTACCTGCATTGCTTCCCTTAATCTTCACCAGAGCCCTAAGAAACAGGTAGTATTATTATTTTGATTTTACCTATGAGGAAATACAGACTTAGAGAGGTTAAATGACTTTCCCAAGGTCACATGGCTGGTAAGTGGTAAAGCTGAGGGATTTGAATCCGGGCTGACTGACTACAAAGACCGTCTCAAAATACTACCTTTCCCTCTCAACAATTAGAGGAAGGCAACTTTCTGTAGCTGAAAGTTCTCATTATTGATAATGTCGAGGCAGAGATAACTGCCAGGCAGACTCCAGTGTGCTAACATCTCAGTGGACGCCGATGGAAGACACTCGGAGTAGCAGTGGGAGGGCAGCCCTCCCTGCAGACATGGGGCAGGGCATTCACGATAGCCTCAGCTCCTGATTCTCCTTCCTCTTTGGGTCATTTATCTTCTTGTTGGGAGGATGACTACACAGTGATTGTTACTGGGAGAATGACCCCTGTGTACCCACAGAAGCCAGTCTCCCCATTTCAGGAATTAAATCCTCCAGGGATTGGGCCCCTTACCGTCATACTGACACCAAGAATCTGGAGGCACTGGATGGGATCAGTCAGTACCCATGTTATCAGCAGGATCACATCAGCTATCACCAGGGCGGCCACCAACCCCAGTAGCTGCAGGTCTTTGATTATCTGTAAAAGAGCCAAGGTCATAATTTTCCTTAGCTTGCTGGCTGTGTGACACAGGGGCTAGAGTGTCCTATGTGTTCTGGGCTACAGGCTTCAGGGTTAGCCCTCCCAGGGAGCTTCAAATCCATTGTTCAAAGATGAAACATATACTAAATATTTACAATGATTTCTATAGCCATATCATCATTATCACCATTAAACATTTCCATTTACTTGTCTTTTCCACATCCTGCCTTTTCCCACAAAGGATTCAAGGAGTTTTATAAAATAAATATACTATTATTTATACATATGTTTACATGAGCACATGGAGAGATGTGGAAGTTTTCATATAAAACTGTCAACATTCATTAACCTGGAGGGTGGGATTGAGAGATAAGGGTGGTAGGGAAGGGGGATTACTAGCATTTTCTTTATGTATATATGAATTATTTGCCTTAATACAAAGAAAATGTGTTACTTTTGTGACCATAAAAATAAAATTAAGAAAATACATATACTGCAACAGGATAAAAAATTGAAAAATATCAGGGAAAAGAGAAGATAAACAGAATTATGATGAAGGCTCAGGTGAGGAGCATATATAACATTCATGATTTGGGGCAGAAATGTGGAACTGAGTTTTTGTCAATTAATGAAAAGAAGGAAGCACAACCAGTTACATGATTCATGGTGTTTGTAAGATAAAAACAAATCAGTTGCTTAATCAAACTGCTCCAAATTAGTGATAAAGAGAAAATCTTGCAAGCAACCAGCAAAAAAAGACATATTATGTAGAGGGGAACAAAGACAAGGAAGATATCAGAGTTCTCATCAGATATAAGACCAAGCGAGAAGACAGTGGAAGAAAAACTACAAAGTACTAAAAGTAAAAAAGAAAACCTCAACCTAGAATTCTCCATCCCGCAAAAATATCTTTCAAAAACAAAGGTGAAATAAAGATTTTTTCAGGTAAATAAAAGCTGAAAGAATTCAGCACTAGCACACCTGCACGAGAATGTTGCTATCCATCAGTCAAAAGGAAAATGACACCAGATGAAAATATGGCACTATACAAGGAAATTAAGAACTCTGGAAATGTTAACTTCATGGAAAAATGTAAAATTGATTTTTATTTTTAAATATCTTTAAAAGATAACTAATTGTTTAAATAAACTATTGGGACTAAATCAAATTGAAAAGCTTCTACACAGCAAAAGAAATCATCAACAAAATGAAAAGGCAACCTATCAAATGAGAGAAAATATTTGCAAGTCATATATCTGATAAAAGGTTAATATTCAAAATATATAAAGAACTCATAAAACTCAATAGCAAAAAATCAAATAACCCAATTAAAAAATGGGCAGAAGATCTGAAGAGACATTTTTCCAAAGAAGACATACAGATGGCCAACAGGTATATGAAAAGGTGCTCAACATCACTAATCATCTGGGAAATGCAAATCAAAACCATAACGAGATATGACTTCATGCCTGTAAGAATGGGTGTCTTCAAAAAGTCAAGATATAATAAGTGTTAGGGAGGATGCAGAGAAAAGGGAATCCTTGTGAACTGTCGGTGGGAATGTAAATTGGTGTAGCCACTATGGAAAACAGTATGGAGCTTCCTCAAAAAATTAAAAATAGAACTACCATATGATCTGGCAAATTCCTCTTCTGGGTATTTATCCAAATAAATGAAAATACTAATTTGAAAAGATATATGCACCCCCATGTTCACTGAAGTATTATTTACAATAGCCAAGACATGGAAATAACCTAAGCATCCATCAGTGGATGAATGGATAAAGAAGATGTGGTATATATATATAAAATGAAATACTATTTAGCTATAAAAAAGAATGAGATCTTGCCATTTGTGACAATGTGGATGGACCCTGAGGGCATTATGCTAAGTGAAATAAGTCAGACAGAGAAAGACAAATATTATGATCTCACTTATATGTGGAATCTAAAAAAAAGAAAACTAAAACCATGCTTACAGAGAACAGATTGGTGGTTGTCAGAGGTGGGGGTGAGGGGTGGCGAAATAGGTGAAGAGGGTTAAAAGGTACAAACTTCCAGTTATAAAATAAATAAGTCATGGGGATACAATGTACAGCATGGCGACCACAGTTAATAATACTGTACTGCATATGTGAAAGTTGCTAAGAGAGGAGGTCTTAAAAGTCCTCATAATAAGAAAAAAAATTTTTATAACTATATGGGGATGGATGTTAACTAGACTTAATTGTAGTGATCATTTCACAATATATACAAATATTGAATCATTATGTTGTACACCTAAAACTAATGTTATATGTCAATTATACATCAATAAAAAAATAAGAATAAAAAATAAAATAATTACATGGGAAAAAAAGAATAAAAAAGATAACTAATTGTTTAAACAAAAATAAGAAAACTTGTGTGGGGCTTTTAACATATGTCAAAGTGAAAACAATAACATAGAGATTGGGAAAGAAAGAAACGGAAGCATACTGTTGTGAGATACTTATACTATGTGAATGCCAATTATACACAAACTCTTTCAGAAATTGAAGAAGAGTGAATACTTCCCAATTTATTCTATAAGGCCAGCATTATCCAGAAAAAGATTTTATAAGAAAAGAAAACGACAGAGCAATGTCCCTTAAGAACACATTATAAACAAAATTTTATGAAAATGAATCCAACAATATAAGAAGAGGATGATACATCATGATCAAGTGGAGCTTGTCTCAGGAATGCAAGGTTCGTTTGAGATCCTAAAATCATTTAATGTAATCCACCATAAGAACAAACTAAAAAAGAAAAACCGTATGATCACGTCAATAGACACAGAAAAAACATTTGACAAGACGCAACATCAATTGTTTATAAAAACTCTCAGCAAAATAGGAATAGAAGGGAACTTCCCTAACTAAATAAAAGGCATCTACAATAAAACTGCAGCTAACATCATACTTAATTTTGAAAGACTTAATGCTTTCCCCATAAGATCAAGAACAACTCAAGAATGTCTGTTCTCAGCACTTCTATTAACATTTGTTTCTAGCCAGTGCCATCATACAAGAGATTGGAAAGAAACTGTCTTTATTCACAGATGATATGATCATCTATGTAGAAAAACTGATGGAATCTACAAAAAAGCTACTAGAACTAATAAGTAGTTTAGCAAGGTTGCAGCACAGAAGATCAGCATACAAAAGTCAATTGTATTTCTAGCTATTAGCAACAAAAAACAGAAAGTGAAATAAAAAACAATAACATGTATAATAGCATAAAAAAATAAAATACATACGAATTCTAATAAAAGATGTGAAAGATCTTTACTGAAAACTACAAAAAACATTGCTGAGAGACATTAAAGATCTAAATAAATGGATAAATATAGTGTTCATGGGTTACAAGACAACATTGTTAAGAAGTCAGTTCTTCATAATTTGATCTATAGATTCAACACATTCTCAGTCAAAATCCTGGCAGGATTTTTGTAGAAATTGGCAAATTGATTCAAAAATTCATATGGAAATTCAAAGGACCTAGATTAGCCAAAACAACATTGAAAGAGAACAAAGTTGGAGAATTGGCACTTTCTGATTCAAGATTTAATATAAAGCTACAGTAATCAAGATAATATGGCATTTATGTCAAAATAAACAACTACGTCAATGAGACAGAGAAGAGTCCAGAAATAGATCCACATATGTACGGACAAATGATTTTCAACAGAAGTTCAAACATAATTCAGTGAAGAAAGAATAGTTTTTTCAACAAATGGTGCTGGAACAATTGAATACACATGTATGAAGAAATGAACTTCGATCCATACATCATACCATATTTCAAAATTAACTCCAAATGGATTATAGGCCTAAATGTAAAAACTAAAACTAATAAAACTTCTAGAAGTAAACACAGAAGAAAACCTTTTAGGGCCTTGGATTAGGCAAAAATTTATTGTATCTGATACCAAAAACATGATCCATAAAAGAACAAAGTAGTAAATTGGACATCATCATAATTAGAAACATCCTCTCTTTGAAAGACACTCTTAAGCGAATGAAAAGAAAAGCCACAAGCTGGAAGAAAACATTTGCAAATCATATGTCTGATAAAGAACTTGTATCTAGTATATAAAAAGAACTCTCAAAACTCAACAATAAGAAAATAAACAGTTAAATAAAAAAACGGCTGAGAGATTTAAGCAGATACTTCACCAAAGAAGATATATGGATGGCACACAAGCATGTGAAAAGATGCTCAACATTGCGTTAGGGAAATGCAAATTAAAACACAGTAAGATACTACTACACATGAGAAAGGCTAAAATGAAAAAGACCAACCAAGTGAAATGTTGGTGAGGATGTGGAGTAAAGGGACTCGCTATACACTGCTGATGGAAATGTAATATGGTACAACTACTTTGGAAAACAGTCATGCAATTTCTTAGAAAGTTCAACATACACCTACCATATGATCCAGCCATTCTACTTTTAGGTGTTTCATTCTAGAGAAATGAAAGCATATGTCTACACAAAGACTTGTACATAAAATGTTCATAGTATGGTTTATTTATTTATTTATTTTTTTGTGAGGAAGACCGGCCCTGAGCTAACATCCATGGCCATCTTCCTCCACTTTATGTGGGACGCCGCCACAGCATGGCCTGACAAGCGGTGCGTCGGTGCGTGCCTGGAATCTGAACCTGGGCCGCCAGCAGCAGAGCGTGCGCACTTAACCGCTACGCCACGGGGTGGCCCTGGTTTATTTTTAATAGCCCCAAATGGGGAACAAACCCAAACATCCATCAGCAGGTGAATGGATAAACAAACTGTAGTATGTCCACACATTGGAATACCACTCAGCAATAATGAGGAAAGAACAAATGATACACGCAACAACATAGATGAATCTCAAAATAATTATGCCACTTAAAAGAAGACAGATTAAAAAAAGAGTATATACTGTATTCCATTTATATAAAATTCTGGAAAATGCAAACTAATCTAGGGGCTGGCCTGGTGGCGTAGTGGTTGAGTGCCCGCGCTCTGCTGGGGTAGCACGGAGTTTGCAGGTTTGGATCCCGGGCGCGCACCCACGCACCACTTGTCCAGCCATGGTGTGGCGGCGTCTCATATAAAGTAGAGGAAGATGGGCATGGATGTTAGCCCAGGGCCAGTCTTCCTCAGCAAAAAGGGGAGGATTGGCATTGGACGTTAGCTCAGGGCTCATCTTCCTCACATACACACAAAAAAATGCAAACTAATCTATAGTGACAGAAAGCAGATCAGTGGTTGCCTGGGGACAGGGACAGGGGATGTAAGGATTGGACAAGAGAGGGAGATAACAAAGATGCATGAGATTTTGCAGATTATACATCACAATTCATCAGTGTATATGTATGTCAGAACTTATCAAATCATACACTTTAAATATGTGCAGTTCATTGCATGTCAATTATATCTCAATAAAGCTATTTTTAAAAATGGAATCACTGTTCTAGAGGAATGGATGAACTTCTTGTCCTTTAGGTAATCTTCTTCAAATATATGGTTACTCACAGCTAAGCTTTTGATAAATATTCACCAAGATTCAATAATGTTTGCTAAAAAACCCAACCAAACAAACCAACCATTATTCCAGAGAAATAAACTCCACCTGAGTGATATATTGGGTCTGGGCAGGGCCTATAATCAAGGAGTTTCATGATCAGAATTTGAGGTTTGGGCAGTTCTATCAGGGAACCTGATAAAATGGGGGAATGTGCTTAGGATGACATCTGACATCAGGGACATGAAGATGATCTGGCTGCCACTTAGCTTCTAGGGTTGATTCTATCTGCTGAATGGGTATCCTCTTCTCTGCCACTGCTCAAGGCCCATCCTTCTTAGTGCAGAGAATGGCCTTCTACATGGAAAAGAATTGGGCTCCAGTGAGGGAAGTAATTCTGCTTACTTGCTACACTTCTCTGTAATCACTCTCCCTCTGTCCACTTTCAGCTTACACCTGTGCCAAGTAACAGTCTCTCTGGGCATCTTGCTCTCCCTCACACATTGGCCAGCTCACACATCCCAGAGCAGTACCAGGGCCTGGGGTGCATATGAACTGGAACCTTTGCTCAAAGACCTATCTCCCAATAGCACTGACACACAGCCTTCCAGGCTTGGGGGTTTATGAGGCCAAACGACTCCACGGTTTGAAGTGAGGAGCAGGAACTTCAAATGGTCATAAAGGGCCAGATCCAGTAATCTGGCACAAGCGTCCCTATCTTTTAATCAGTAGTGAAGCTGCCATTTGCAATCAAGCAGTGTGTGCTTGCTGCCTACTCACCACTCTCTTGTCCGGGACCCTCTGGGTAAACACCTTGTAGAGTCGCCAGCTCTTTCCCAGAATGGGCCCAAACACAAGGGAGGTCCCAATGCACAGCATGGACAGTCTTATCTACAGGTGGAAAGGGACAGAAGCAAGAATCAGGAGAGGAGCCTTTGTTGGTTCTCCACACATTCTAATCTGCAAAGCCAAAGTCCATAGAGGGCATGGAGCAGAAAGTGGACCTCACTGACTAAGAGTTCCAGGTATCGTCTCTGAAAGTGCTCACGCCAAGGATAAAGGTAACCACCACCCACAGGAGCAGCTGATTTAAAAAATTATCAAAACATGGGCATTATATTCAAAACAAAAATTTAAGACTTCACCTACCTGGATCAGAGTTTCCATTGAGCTTCCCACTAAAGCATTTTTATCTTGAATCCCAAAGAGGTAAGCACTACTGTAAGTCAGACAACTGCCCAGTAAGGTCACGATGTTCAGATTGGGACTGGACATCTTCACAATCCTAGAAGGAGTCAGGAAGAAAGACACTTACGGTCATGACCCATTGCCCTGGAAGTGGACAGAGCTTCCTACTAGCATCCCAATGCAGCCTCAGAGTGAAGGACCACTGAGAAGAAACCACTTTACAGCCCTGTAAAAAACTGTTATGATTTATTTAAATTTATTTTAGAAAAGAACTAAATTCTGGCATTTCTTGCTTGTATAACTCCAAGTCTTTTAAAAGAGGGCCACCTTCCTACAAACAGGTGGTATCAGGGAAGAGTTAGGACTTTTCCACGAAGTTTATGGTTGCTAGGAGACTGCGATATGCAGTCTAGTGAATAAATAACTAGCAGGTAGACACCTACAGAGATGCAGCTTGGAGCCTTTAGAAATGAGCTGTAAAGTAAACTACTATTTGGAAAAGGGTTTGGAATTTTTTTTTACACACTATTTACTTTATTTGATATGTACACTGTTTTTCTCTCTCTGCTTGACCAAGAGAGAAAGAAGAAGCAGGGACCAAAAGCAGGAAATTTGGGAAGGGTCTTTTCTTGAGTAGTTTTAAATGAGGTTACAGAGCAATTCCAAGATTAGGAGAGGCTGGACAATCAGGGTCTCAGACAAAGCCTGGGCACCAAGAGAGGCTCAGGACAAAGTAGAAATGTGTGGACTGGGTAACCTAAGGGGAAAACCAGGCTTACACTGGACAGTGACTGATAGTTAAGAAGTAAAAGTAACTAGCAACAATTAAGAAGGAATTTAATTGTATTTAAAAGTGTGAGTCTAAATAGTGTATTCTATGTAAATGCAATATTTACACTAACAGTCATTTGATAATTGTACTTAGTTATACTTTTATTTTTAAAAACTAACTGAGGAGGAAAGCATTCTTATCTAATGTACCTGGATTACCCGGCTGACCATCTTAATGGCCAGAGTCAAGGCAAACCGAGCTACTTAGGGAAGCCTATTTTAACGAAAAGCAAAGTACCTAGGAGGCATTAAACAGTTTGGCAGTGTTGGATTTGCAAACGTCATAATCACCATTGACCCAGCTTGATTACCTTGTAGCTGGCAGCATAATCATGTCCACACACATAAGAAGACCAAGCCACTGCCCCGGGTCTCAGGCCCAAGTATGGTCACCACAAGCCAATGAGTCCAGCTGAGCTTTACCTTGTTTTGGAGCAAAAGCTTTGATTTTTTTTCTTCCTCTAAAAGTGAGAACAACTTTCATGTATTTCCCTTGTAAAATGGGGAATAATAATAATACCCACTCCCCCAAGAGCTGTGAGGATTCAACGAGGCAATAGAGTAGAGTGTGTGGCACAGGGGCTGCCACATAGTAAGCATGGTGTCAACATTAGCTGATGATATTATTAATCTCACCATCTGCCAGGCTTTAGAAAGCTAGGAATCACCTTTTCCTTCCCCTGTTTCTTTATTACCTATACGCAATCAATCACCAATTTCTTTCTCTTGTTATTTCAGAATCTCTCTGAGTTGTCCCTCACTCTCCATTCCTGCTACCACATTTATCCAGGAAACAATCACATTTGGAGCAATGGAACTGGAGTCAGGTGACAGATGAGAACCCCGGCTCTGCCATTCATGGCTGTGTGACTATAGGCAAGTCATTTAACTACTCTAGGTTCCTGTTTCCTCATCTGTGAAATGAAGATAATAGCATCTTTCATATCTACCCCACAGGTTATTGCAGAGATCAAATGAGGTGTGTCCCAAAACTCTTTGAAAACTCTAAGGTGATGCAAAAATACTAATTTTTAGAGTTTTAGTATAACTTTAAGCTCTCTAACACCCATTTTTCTCTGTCCTAATATATCCTGTACATTACTTTCAGATTTATTTTCTTAACATACTACCTTCATCACTTAGCAAGAGAGCTACCTGTATAAAGAACATTTTTCTATTGTTTACCTTAAGTCTTCTGTATCCAAACTTAAGATCTAGCCCTATTCTACCTATCCACTCATTCACTCAGGTTTGCCTCCTCAGTCATCATGTCTTCAAACTGTGGACTTACGGAGAGTAACCTTCGCTAGTTTCTTTGTCTCTTCCCATAAAAGGGGGGAACAGGGGGTGAATATTGACTACTGAAATGAGAACACTGCTAACCAGCAGCTTCACAGAGCATTTGTTAAGAAAAGTTATACATTTGAGAGACCAGTGCTGACATTGATTTAGAAAAAAGGGCACTGCTGACCTGGGGACTGGCCATGCAGTGCAGTCAGAAGCTTGGGCAGTGGTACACCCGCTGAGTGGGCTCCTGTAAGACCACTAACTGAGGCCATTCTTCCTCATGGCTTCTCACAAGCTCCTGGGTATGAGCCATGAACATCTGACGATGACCTCCTCACCAAGCAACTGCCCGGGTATCACAGCCACACGTCTGTGTTGTCTAGATCACTGATGGTTGGTTTCTTTCTTAATTCTTCTCTGGATCCATTTTATTTGAACACCACTACACAATCAGGTCTCCTTTCATGTAAATCAGTATGCATGAAATCCTGATCTAGAATTCCTCCCCCTCCTGATTTAGTTAGGAGGAACTCAATTTAGTTATTTTTGACAGAATATACATTACATAGTCTTCACATCTCAAAAGTTGATGCAAATTCATTCTTCAAATGGACATGTTCTGGACTTATATGTGTATATTTCGATATTTTTCATAAATAATTTTACTGGAAATTTGCCTCAGAAAAAAAATGAATGGAAAGTGATTTACCTATTATGTTTGGCCAAGTTAACCCCTGTGAAGTCACTGAAAGGTGAATCATCTCCAATTCAGCAGATGAATTAGTATGTCTGGGGATTGTCTTTGCTACTTTGATAGAAATTCAACCATCAATGTCATTTATATTTTTCTATTGAACTAAAAGATGAAACCTACGTATACTGAATATTTTAATCAACCACAAACATATAATTTCCACAAAGCAATTAGATTTAAATATTATATACTTGATTATAAATATCCAGTCCCATTTAGATTACTTGTGTTGCATTTATGAAGAGATAAAAGCTTGGACTGGGTTACTGGCAGTCAGAAACAAGGTTGGATTTTGTTTTAAAAAAAGGATTACATAGCTATCTCATTATCTTTTTTTTCTTCATTTATTGATTGGCAATGTAAGGCAAGAGCTTTCTAGATTTTTCTATCCTCAAATAAGGTCTCAATACATATAGATAAATATCCATCTACATCTGCAGAACCTGTATAAACCTGGATTATCATTTCAATAGTTAAATGAATTCAGATGTGTAAGTGACGTCTACCAGCTCACAGGTATTACATTTTAAATATCTTTATCAAATACTGATTCCTAAACTTAGAGAGTTATTATACTTGGAGTTATAGAGCAGTGACTGGTCATCCTATTGTTTCTTTTTAAAGATGGTTAAGGACTGAGTTTGGAAACATGGCCTGCAAATGGGGCTGAGGGTACTTCTTGGCTTGACGTGACTATTAGAAAACCTTCTCAAGATGTCACAGGGCCATGCTTTCTAAAGTGCTATATGAGTTGATATAAATAGTATCATTGAGCTTTAAACATAACTGAAACGAAATATGAATGTCTTTCCAAAAAGCTTTTTAATAAAACAATTAAGATTAAATAGTGAAGATTTATTGAATTTCTTTTTCAACCCACTGTTTTTGATCCAGGCTACAACAGGATCATAAATCTATCTCATCTGGATATGTTCCAACCAGCTTTATGGTGATATTGTCTGGTGTGTTTCAGCAAATATGGTCAGTTTTCTATCTTGCTTATTTCTAATGTATTAGGTTCAAAATCTGAGTCCAGTTCAAATTCTGTACACCTCCAACTAATATTTGTGTGATCTCTAACCATTTATGTTCAAACTTTGTATCATCAGGGTGAGAGCAGCCTGGCCTTGGTCCTTCCTCTGTTGCCTGGGCCACCATCCTAGGAGACTATCCTAGAGATTTCATTAACCTTTCACCCTCCAGAGTTCTAAGTTCTTTACTTATCATGACTTGACTTTATTCCACATTCAGACACCCATTCCCTAGGTCATACCCTGGGTCTTATGATCATTCAGAAATTTAAACACCAATATCCCACTCTCTGATCACAAGCTATCCAAAATTTTCCTCCTAGTCTTCCCCCTCACATTCTTCCCCAGTTCAGATAACGGCAACTGCATCTTTCTGTTTGCTTGGACCAAAAATCTTCGAATCACCCTTGACTCTTGCTCACCACCCACACCAAATCTGTCATGCAATCCCATTGGCTCTGTCCTTGAAATACATTCAGAATCCAACTACTTCTCACCATTTCTGCTGCCATCACCCTGATCAAAGTCTTACTTTGCATTTCTCATTTGGATTATTACAATAGCCTCATAATTGGTCTCCCTGCTTCTAGTCTGGAACCTCCCCATGTCTATTTTCAACACAGCAGCCAGAGCGATCCATTAAAGGTAAATCAGATTGTGTCCCTTTTCTGCTCACAACTCTGCAATGGCTCTCCATCTCACTCAGAGGAAAAGCCCGTCTTCACCAGGCTCCATGAGGCTTACAGATTTGGTCCCCATTCTCTCTCTCTCTCATTTCCTACTTCGTCCCCTCGCCCACTCCACTCTACACTGTTCGTTGAAAACACCAGGCACTCACACACTTCAAGGTTTTGACGTGGCTATTCTCCCTGCCTGGAATATTTTAATTCACACATCTGCATTCACACATCTAATGTATTACATTAGAAGGTAATGAATTTATTTACACATTTATTATTATTGTTTATTGTCTTCTCCTCCCAATTATAATTATTCATGATGTACTTCCAGCACTAGAATACTACCTCGTGTATTGAAGGTGCTCAATAAATACTTATGAATGAATGAATCAGTCTCCTATCCTCCAGCCCTCTCATATGCTTACTTCTAACACATTTGCTCATTGACAGGCTACAGACCTCCAATTCCTCGATTTCTCTAGCTTCCTCACAGTCTATCAGCCTCTCTTTCTTT